CAAAGGGGGGTCACCCAAATACCCAAAACCCTAAACCCTAAACCCTACCCCCTAAAACCCTAAACCCTAAACCCTAAACCCTGAACCCTAAACCCTAAACCCTAAACCCTAAACCCTAAACCCTAAACCCTACCTTGATGGTGCCCGCGAGAATGTGCCCGTAGTGGGGCAGTCCAGTGGCAAAGGGGGGGCCATCATAAAAAGAAAACGGGGGTTTATCTTTGGAAAGTTTTAAAGACTTTTCAAAAGTTTTTTCTTCTCTCCAAACCCTCAGGGTTTCTTCTTCCAACTGGGGAAAGTTGGGACGCTCGGACACTGCGCAGCGCACGCAGGCGAGGGTTTAGGGTTTAGGGTTTAGGGTTTAGGGTTTGGGGCCAGGGCTAGGGTTTAGGGTTCAAGGGGATAGGGTTTTATCAGGGTTTGGGGTTGAGGGTTTAAGGGCTAAACGGTCTAGGGTTTAGGGTTTAGGGTTTGCGCAGTACGGGCAGTGGCTGGAAGGCCACTTCTCGAAGCGCCAGCTGCTGCTGCTGCTGCTGGTCTGCTGCTGCTGCTGCTGCTGCTGCTGCAGCCTCTAGGGTTTAGGGTTTAGGGTTTAGCCCACAGGGTTCAAAAGTCAGCCCTTCAGAAGTCCCCCCTTGGCTTGGCGATTCTCCAGCTCCCATTTTGGCTGTTCTAGCTTGCTGCTGCTGCTGCTGCTGCTGCTGCTGCTGCTGCTGTTGCTGCTGCTGCGGCTGCTGCGATTGCTGCCGCTGCGGGTGTTGATGCTGCTGTTGCTGCTGCGGGTGTTGATGCTGCTGCTGTTGCTGCGGCTGCTGCTGCTGCGGCTGCAGGAACCGCTGCTGCTGCTGCTGGAATTTCTGCCGCAGTTGCTGATGGGCTTGCTGCTGCTGCTGCTGCTGCTGCTGCTGCTGCTGCTTGCTGGCAGCAGCTAGAAAAGTGGGTTTTGTTTGAAGCAAATTGCTGCAGCAATTCAAATTTCTAATTTGTTTATTGAAGAAAACAAAAGAGGAAAAAGAAGACAAAGAGACTCGACCAAGACGCATCAGATGGCCGACGCCTGCAGCAGCAGCAGCAGCAGCAGCAGCAGCAAACTGATTGGCAAGCAGCAGCAGCAGCTGCTGCTGCAGCCGCAGCAGCAGCAGGCTATCGACTGTGCTGCAGCAGCAGCAGCAGCAGCAACTGGACTTCGGAGCAGCAGAAAGCAAAGATAAATGCGCCCAGGAAAGTCTTAACAAAGCAAATTTGCTAGGAAGACTCGCACATCCCAAACCCTAAACCCTAAACCCTAAACCCTAAACCCTAGACGACTAAACCCCAAACCTAAACCCTGAGCCCCAAACCCCACAGGAGCCTCTACATGGGCGAAGAGAACAAGAAAGGAACATTGTATAGAGTCATATAAACTGAAAACCCTAAACCCTAAACCCTAAACCCTAAACCCTAAACCGCTGGAAAGCCGCCCTCACAGTGTCGAGTGTCGGGGTCTTGAGGCTCGCCGGGGTCCGTTAACGGCGCTAAACCCTAAACCCTAAACCCTAAACCCTAAACCCTCGAATTAAATTGAATTAGGAGTTTTTAGAAGCAAAACGAACCAAAAGACTCCCAAAAGAATGCCAAACCCTCGGGGCTGCAGCAGCAGCAGCAGCAGCAGCAGCAGCTGCGGGGCCCCCGGTGGGGCCCCCGAGGGTTTACTGCTGCAGCAAAGCAGCAAATAAAAGAATAAATAAATAAATAAATATTTTAATTTTAATTTTAATTTTATTTTTTCTTTTTTTAAATTCTTTTTGGAGCTTTTTTAACTCCTTTTGGGGTCTTCGGATCTCCACAAGAAGAAACTGCTGCCGCTGCATGCACTCACTCACTTCATTTCTGTTTATTATTTATTTATTTATTTATTTATTTATTTATTTATTTATTTATTTATTTATTTATTTATTTATTTATTTATTATTTAGTGGAATAGTAAATTAATTAATGAATTAGTTAATTGATCATTCATAATTAAATTATCTGCGAATTAATTATTTAATTAATTGATTAAAATTAAAATTAGTTAATTAAGTAATTCAATGTTATGGTAGAATATTAATTAAGTTGTGTGAAATTAAATCAAGTAATTCATTAAGCAAAATGCTAAGTTACTTATTAATTGATTAATTAATTAATTAATTAATTAATTAATTAATTAATTAATTAATTAATTTGTTTAACCCGCTGGGCAGGACAAAGAGGAGCTAGGGTTTAGGGTTTAGGGTTTAGGGTTTAGGGTTTAGGGTTGAAGGGTTTAGGATGTGGCGCCTGGAGATTCGGGTTGTTCGTGCAGGGTTGGAGGCTTAGGGCTTAGAGATGGATGTTTAGGGTTTAGGGTTTAGGGTTTAGGGTTTAATAACTGGGAACAAAGCGACGAACGTAGGCCCGTGTTAGACATGCCGCAAATGAATGAATGCATACACTTGGAGTCTAGGGTTTAGGGTTTAGGGTTTAGGGTTTGGCGCACTTTGTGTATATGTTATTATTCTAAATGCATTCAGTTTAAATAAAACGCCATTTTTATTTCTTTTCCTTTTTTCACGAAGATTTTATTTGAAAATAAATTCTTTTTTATTTTCCTTTATTTCATTTGTGTCTAAAAAGAGCTGCAAATACATTTTTAATATTTTTGTCTAGCAGTGTATGTACACCCCAGGAGCTTATGAATGCACTCTGAGGTGTATGTACACCTGAAGGCCCTGCTATGCAAATGTGGGCAAATCAGTCTAAATTCTTTTCCACAAAATGAAACTCTGTAAATAAATAAACAAATTAATTAATTAATTAATTAATTAATTAAATGAATAAATAAATAAGCAACTAAGTAAGTAAATAGATAAATGAATAAACAAACAAACAAATGAATAAATTGATAAATAAAAAAAGTAATTTAAAAAAAATAAAAAAAAAATAAATAAATTCATTTAAAAGGGCCTGGCTGTCCGTTCACCTGGGATAAAGGAGGCAGCAAAAAGAATTGCAAATAAAAGTGAAGATTTTTTTGGAGTTTCGGATTTCTTTTTTGTTTTTATATTTTCAAAGAAATGAACTTTTGTGGATAAACAATTATTATAAATATAATATTTATGGACGTAAAGACATATATATATATTTAATATACATATACAAATATATATATAGAGAGATATATATATTTGATAATTTTGATTCAAAATATGTGCGAGAAGAGTTGCTTTAGTGCGCGGGTGTATGTACACCTCAAATATAAGCATAAACAGACAATAAATGAATCCACAAAATATGAAATAAATAAATAAAAGGACAAATATGGAAATAAATTCATTCTTTTTGTTTATTTAGAGTTCAAAGTAACAGTTATTGTGGGTTTGCATTTATTTGGAGAAAAAGCTGAAAATTCTTGCATGCGTTTCAGGTGTACGTACACCTCAAGTTAACTGGGAAGCCCTGCAACTCTTTGGCAGCTTTTTAAACTTAATTGCATTTAAATCAATCCTCTTGTTGCCAGAGTTGTTTCAAACGAAATATAATTGATTTATCATTTGCATGCATGCAAAATATCAAATGCATGCATGCAAAATAATTAATTCGACATTTTGCATGCATGCAAAATATCAAATTAATTATTTTGCATGCATGCAAAATATCAAATTAATTATTTTGCATGCATGCAAAATATCAAATTAATTATTTTGCATGCATGCAAATAAATCACATTTCGCATTTTTGCAAAAACTCTCTAAACACTACTTGTGTGGATATACACCCCCAAGAAAGAAATTTAAATGCAGAGTGAAAGTACTTATTTAAGCTTTTGTGACATTTGCCTGTCCGTAAACCCTAAACCCTAAACCCTAAACCCTAAACCCTAAACCCTAAACCCTAAACCCTAGACGTGAACAAGTCCAGAAGAGTGCGCTCTTGTACGTACACTGCGTAGTCCCGGTTTAGAGCTAAAGCCCTTATTGGCGGCTTCAAACCCTAAACCCTAAACCCTAAACCCAAAACCCTTAACCCTAAACCCTAAACCCTAAACCCTAAACCCTAAACCCTAAACCCTAAAGAAGGCTGGCTCGAGCCCTCAGCGACGACAAGGGGAGCTGCAGCAAACGAAAGGACATATTAAAATTAAAAATAAAAACAAAATAAAAATAAAAATAAAATTAATTCAAAAATAAATAAAAATAAATAAATAAATAAATAAATAAATGCGGCGGCGCTGCAGCAAAGAGCGAAAGAGACCGGACAAGACAAGGAAGGGAAGACGGGGGTTTAGGGTTTAGGGTTTAGGGTTTGGAAATTAGGGTTTGAGACTCTTTTTTTAAAGTCCAATACTTGAATATTACAGTCTAGGGTTTAGGGTTTAGGGTTTAGGGTTTAGGGTTTAGGGTTCTAGTGCATCTATTCTTGCCTCTGCCGCTCCTTTCTGTCTCTGGCTGATCTTTACTTTAATTGCTTTGGTATTCTATTTGTTTTGCGGGAACATAAACTCCTAAACCCTAAACCCTAAACCCTAAACCCTAAACCCTAAAAGAGATGAAGCAGCAAAACGAAAACGCTTTTCTGCTGCTGGCAGCAGCACCGAGACTCTGGGGTGTCTCGGCAGCTGCTGCTTAGTTGAGAATTTCTTTTTTTTTATTTTTATTTCAAATTAATTTAAAAGCTTTTAAAAGTTGTTTTGAAGTTATTCCGAGACATAAGACGAGGGTTTAGGGTTTAGGGTTTAGGGTTTAGGGTTTAGGGTTTAGGGTTTAAGGTTTCGGCTGCGGTGACCTGAACCCCAAAGCCTCCCTGGGCAGCAGCTGCTGCAGTTCCTCTGCAGCTCCAAGTGTCATTACACCCTACGACGGCAGCAGCAGCAGCAGCAGCAAGAGCTGCGGCAGCAGCAATAGCAGCAGCAGCAGCAGCAGCAGCAGCAGCAACACACCATGGGGTGAGCTACAGCAGCAGCAGCTGCTGCTTGAGGTGACGGCCGCCCCTGCAGCCAAGTAAGTACAGTGGAGGATCTGCTGTGGCCTTAGGCATGGAGCAGCAGCAGCAACAACAGCAGCAGCTGCAGCAGCAGCAGCTGCAGCAGCAGCTGCTGCAGCAGCAGCGGCAGCAGCAACAGCAGCAGCAGCAGCAACTGCAGCAGCAGCAGCAGCAACTGCAGCAGCAGCAGCAGCAAGCACATGCAGGGCAGCAGCAAGGCGAGTTCGAGCCGAAGAGTCTCCGGGAAAATGAACAGCGCCAGTTCCCCATGCAGCAGGAGGAGCAAGAGCAGCAGCAGCAGCAGCAGCAGCAGCAGCGACATCAGCAGCAGCAGCAACAGCAACATCCGCAGCAGCAGCAGCAGCATATTCCGGCAGCACGGCTCTCTGTAGGCTCAGCTGCAGGAGCGGACGCAGCAGTTGCTGCTGAGCAAAGCCCTGGGTTCCCCCAAAGCAGCAGCAGCAGCAGCAGCAGCAGCGACCGCAGCAGCAGCAGCAGCAGCAGGAGAGCTGCAAGTAAAGGAGGAGACCAGAGCCAGGAGGCCCGCAGCAGCAGCAGCAGCAGCAGCAGCAGCGGCTACAGCAGCTGTTGGGAAGGCAGCAGCAGCAGCTCCGAAGACGAGTCTGTCGGGGCGTGCGGCGGCGCTGCTGCCGCGGCGCCAGCAGCAGCAGCAGCAGCAGCAGCAGCAGCAGCAGCAGCAGCAGCAGGGACTGCCCGCCTGAGCTGCTGCAGCTGCCGGGCCTTTCGCTGCTGCCTGTTCGCTCCCCCGCGGGCTTATGCACTTTGCGTTTTGCTGCTGCTGCTGTGCCTCTGCACGAGACGCTGCGGCGCCTCATGAAGCAGCAGCAGCAGCAGCAGCAGCAGCAGCAGCAGCAGCAGATGTCGCTGCTGCAGCCGCTGTCTGCTGCTGCGCTGCAGCAAATTGCAGCTCTCATGGCAACTCAGCCTGCCCTTGCAGATGTCCTTGCTCAAGCGTTGGGGGCTTTCCCACAGGGGGCGTGGGTCAGCAGCAGCAGCAGCAGCAGCAGCAGCAGCAGCAGCAGCAGCAGCAACAGCAGCAACAGCAGCAGCAGCAACAGCAGCAAGCGTGATGCAGCTGAGGGGCTGTGGCAGCCCAGGGACAAGCAGCATGAGATGAAAACTGCAGCAGCAGGAGCAGCAGAAGATGCTTCTCCGGAGCTGCTGCTGCTGCTGCCGCTTTCCACTGCACGGTGGGGACTCAGCAGCAGCAGCAACAGCAGCAGCGGCAAACAGCAGCAAGCAGCTCGCCGTCTTCTGGCCTCATTGCGAGGCAGCAACGAGACAAAGCACCTATCTGTGGCCGTTACTGCTGCTGCTGCTGCTGCTGCTGCTGCAGCGACGCCCGCTGCAAGTGCCGCAGCAGCAGCAGCAGCAGCAGCAGCGGCGGCAAGCAGCAGTGCGAACAGCAGCAACAGCAACAGAGTCATGGTGAATGCAGCAGCAGCCGAGCCCGCAGCGAGAGCAGCAGCAGTCACCTCACCTTCAGCAGCAGCAGCAGCAGCAGCAGCAGGTGCTGCTGCTGCTGCAGCAAGACATCAGCAGCAGAAGCCACGGGAAGATGAAACCTATCTCTCGCTGCTGTTTAGCTCTCTCGTGCTGCGGCTGCAGCAGCTAAGAGTTGCTGTTGCTGCAGAGACTTTGCTGCAGCCGCCTGCAGCAGATGGCAGCAACGAGCTGTACGTACACCTCAAACTCCTGGACCCCACAAAGACTCTGCTGCCACTTGTGCCTTCTCTGCAGCAGCAGCTGGAGGCGCCAGCAGCAGAGGGAACAGCAGCAGCAGCAGCAGCAGCAGCCGCCGCAGCAGCAGCAGCAGCAAGGCCTGCTTCTGCTGCAGTCTATAGGCAACAAGCGCTGCGAGCTGGCAGCATCAATTTGTTTCGTTTGTTTGTCCTTATAATCGCCTGGGTGGAAGGGGCTCCACGCTCTGTTGCTGCTGCTGCTGCTGCTGCTGCTGCTGCTGCTGCTGCTGAGGGGTCTGGGTCTTCAGCATTTGCTGCAGCAGACGCAGCAGGACGGGCAGCAGCCCAGGATGCAGCAAAACACGCCAAGCAGCAAAATGCGCCGCTGCAGCAGCAGCTGGCGATTCTCGTGCGCACAGCACTGGGGAGCTCTGCTTCGGCTGCTGCTGCTGCTCCTGCTGCTGCTGCTGCTGCTGCTGCTGCTGCCAAAGCAGTCAGCAACACCGGTTCTGCAGAAGACAGCAGCAAGGCAGCAGGAGAAACAGGCGAGGCAGCAGCAGCAGCAGCCGCTGCTGCTACTGCTGCTGATGGAGGCCGCCCGAAGAAACAGCAGCAGCGCGTGCAAGAGGAAGAACAGCAGCAGCAGCAGCAGCAGCAGCAACTGCAGCAGCAGCTCTACTCGCTGCAGTCGTTGGGCTGGGTGGACCTTGCAGCAGCAGAAGACGTCGTGAGGGAAATATTTGCTGCTTTTGGTGCTGCTGCGCTGCAAGAGAACAGGGAGAGGCAGCAGACAAGTGCTGCTGCTGCGGCAGCTGCTGCTGCTGCAGCTGCTGCTGTGAGGTGAGAGACAAAGAGTTTATCTGCTGCTGCTGTCGCTGCTGCTGCTGCGGCGGCGGCCACCGCTGCTGCTAGGAGAGACAAGGGGGGGTGACTGCTGCCGTTGCTGCTGTTGCTGCTGCTGCTGCTGCTGCGCCCGGAAAGTACATGGCCGTGTTTGCTCTTGCCACTGCGGTGCGTCATCCCCGTGGCTCCCTATTGCTGCTGCTGCTGCTGTTGCTGCTGCTGCTGCTGCAGACTACCATCGCCAGCCGCTAAATCGCGTACAGCTGGCGACAGCGCTGCTGCTGCTGCTGTAAGGGGCAGCAGCAGCAGCAGCAGCAGCAGCAGCAGCAATGCGTCCGTCCTTGTTTCTCGCTTTTTCCCGCCTTTTTTGAGCCAGCTTGCTCCTCCTGCTGCAGCAGCAGCGCAGCAGCAGCAACAGCAACAGCAGCAGGAGCACCAGCAGCATCTGCGGGGTCGGCTAAGGCCACCCGATTCGCCATCCGCCGCAGCAGCAGCAGCTGCAGCAAACGGATCGCCGGGGGCTCTTTCTGTTGGCATGCATGACACGAGAAAGGAAGATGGCAGCAGCAGCAGCAGCAGCAACTACAGCAGCAGCAGCAGCAGCAGCAGCAGAGGTCACCCCTCTGGTGCTTCGTGGGGTTCAACGTCGGGAGGAGAAGAACTCGAGTGGAGGTAAGCGCATCTCAGAGCCCTTGCTGTTGCTGTCGCTGCTGCTGTTGCGTTGCTGCTGCTGCTGCTGCTGCAGTTGCTGCTGCTGTATGTGCTGCTGCTCCTGTCACTGGTGCTGCTGCTGCTGCTGCTGCTGCTGCTGCGGTTGCTGCTGCTGTATATGCTGCTGCTCCTGTCACTGCTGCGGTGCTGCTGCAGGCCTAGAGCCTTGCGCCTATACATTTATGAAGCGCTGCTGGCCCACGAGCCGCTGCTGCACATCCCTATCACCACGCCGCCTGCAGACAGCAGCAGCAGCTGCAGCAGCAGCAGCAGCAGCAGCAGCAGCGGCATCAAGGTGCTGCAGTACATTGCCTTGCAGCTCTTCTGTCACTTGGATGACTGCTGGCTGCGAATGAGGGCAGCAGGCAGCGCTATGCCGCTGCCGCTGCTGTCTCTTGCTGCAGTCCCAAGGCACACAAGCAGCACAAGCAGCAGCAGCAACAGCAGCAGCAGCAGCAGCAACAACAACAACGCAGGGCCTCTTCCTGCTATTCGCGTGTCTGCTTCTTTGCCCAGTTCCAGTGCTGCAACTGATGCTGCTGCTGCTGGTGACACATTTGTTTACCCGTCTGCTGCAGTGGCGCCTACAGCAGCAGCAGCAGCAGCAGCAGCAACACCAGCAGCAACAGCAGCAGCAGCTGAGCGCGCAACAGGCGCAGAAGCAGGAGATCGGGAGCCGCGTCAAACACAGGCGGCCATGGCAGCGGCTGCAGCAGCAGCACCGCGAGCAAAAGCAGTAGCAGCAGCAGCACAACCAAGCTCAAAGGCCGAAGCAGCAGCAGCAGAAGCAAAAGCAGCAGCAGCAGCAGCAGCAGCAGATGAGGCGCTGCTGAGCAAAGCCCTGGGCCTGGACTCCCGCGGGGCCTTTTGGTCAGATTACTTTCAGTTTTTGCTGGCAGCAAAAGAGCACTGTCTTCTTTTGCCGCTCAAAGCAGCACTGGCCTTTGTCTTGGCCAGGTAAGGCAGCAGCAGCAGCAGCAGCAGCAGCAGCAGCAGCAGCAGCAGCACCAACAGCACCCGCAGCAGCAGCAACCGCAACAGCAGTAGCAAGAGCGACGGGAGTAGCCAGAACAGAAGTAGCAGCGGCAGTAATTGCGCGCAAGGTAAAACGTGTTTGCTGCTGCTGCTGCTGCTGCTGCTGCTGCTGCTGCTGCTGCTGCAGGGATGTCTCAGCAGCGTCTCAGGTGCTGCTGCCGTTTCCGCAGCTGCGGCCTGCTGTGCTGCTGCTGTCTTGGGATGCATTTGAGGGGCAAATGGGGAGAAGGCAGCAGCTGCTGGACCTGCTGTGCTGCTGCCACGTTGCTGCTAAAGCTGCTGCAGCAGAAACTCCTGCAGCTGTTGCTGCTGCTGAGAGACAGACGCTGCTGTGCCTGGCACACGCCTGTGCCCACACAGGAGCAGCAGCAGCAGCAGCAGCAGCAGCAACAGACCCAGCAGCAGCGCAGCAGCAGCCGCTTCTTCGCTACGCATGCGACCCTAACATGCAGCAGCACATCGAGGTAATTAGTTGCTGCTGCAGGAAGCACCCTTAAGGCAGCTGCTGCAGCAACAGTCGCTGCTGCTGCTGCTTCTGTTGCAGCTGCATAGGACTCCTTAATGTGGCTTTGTAAGCTGCTGCTGCTGCTGCTGCTGCAGGTGCTGCGGAGCCGAATGGCAGCCGCTTGGTGGATCGCCGATCTGCTGCTAGAGCTTCATGTAGCCCTGCAGCAGCAGCAGCAGCAGCAACAGCAGCAGCAGAATAAGCAAAGCCAGCGGCAGCAACGACGGCAGCAGAGGCTGCAGCATCGGGGAGGAAGGGAAGCAGCTGCTACACTGGCCTGGCCCCAGGACAGCAGCAGCAGCAGCAGCAGCAGCAGCAGCAGGGGAAACGAAGCTGCTGCTGCGATTCCAGCAGAAGCAGCAAAGAGCCTGCTGCTATATCCGGAGGCCGTAGAGGCACTTGCTGCAGCAGCTAGCCAGCGCTGCGTTGCAGCAGCAACTGCTGCAGTGCGGCTGCAGCAGCTGTTTGGCACCTCCGATGCAGCAGCTGCTGCAGACGAAGCGTCTGCTGAGCAGGAGGCAGCAGCAGCTGCTGCTGCTGCTGCATCTTGTGTCCGCGCTGCTGCTGCCGCCATCGGCGGCAGCAGCGCAGCAGCAGCAGCTGCTGCCTTTGCTGCCTTGCGGGAAGCCCTTGCTGCTGACATTTACGAAGCAACAGCAACCCAGTCCCTCCTCTTGTCGGTGAGAGCTGCTGCTGCTGCTGTTGCTGCTGCTGCTACTGTTGCTGCTGCTGTTGCTGCTGCTATGGGTGTGCTTACTGCTGCGGCGGCTGCCTGAGGCGCTGCAGCACGAGTGCAGCAGCCGCACTGCCCGCCGCTACTGCTGCTGCGGCTGCTGCTACTGCTGCTGCTGCTGCCTCTGCTGCTGCTGCTGCTGCTACAACGCAAGCTGCTGCTGCTGCTGCTGCTGCAGCTCTCTCGGCGGGCGCCGCTATCTCTGATGCAAGAACAAACCTTCCTTGAAGGACTTGCTGCGCTGCCGCTGACGAGCCGCAGCAGCTACGAGGAGGAGCGGCAGCACGACACAGATGTTGCTGCTGCTTACTTTGCCCTGAGAGCAGCACTGCGGCTTATTGAGGCCTGCAGCAGCAGCAGCAGCAGCAGCAGCAGCAGCGGCAGCAGCAGCAGCACTTCTGCGGCGGCGGCACAGCGGCAGGCGGAGGGGGCTGCGGCTGGAGCTGACGGCCTGGGGGTCTACCCGCAGCAGCAAGCAGCAGCTACTGCAGCAGCAGCAGCAGCAGCAGCGGAGCTGCAGCCGCTACTGCAGCAAACCGTTTGCTGCTTAGAGAGGCTCATCGCACGTGTGCGAAGGCCCCCCTACCGTCTGTGGCTGCTGCTGCGGCTCGCGCCACTGCTGTTTGCTTCCACTGCTGCAGTGCAGCAGCAGCAGCAGCAGCAGCAGCAGCAGGACAGAAACACGAGCGACAGCACTTGCAGCAGCAACTGCAGCACCAACAGCAGCAGCAGCAACAAAAACGGAGCCTTTGTGGTCCCGCCATCCGTGCTTATATCCCTGGCACTTCTCATCCAGTAGGAACTGCTGCTGTTGCTGCTGTAGCTGCTGCTGCTGCTGTAGCTACTGCTGCTGTAGCTACTGCTGCTGCTGCTGCTGCTGCTGTGTCTATCCCTCCTGTGCCTGCTGCACACCATGCACACTTGGGCTGCCTTTGCTGCTGCTGTTGCTGCTGCTGCTGCTGCTGCAGGAGGCACCTAGAAGCCCTAAGAGGTGCAGAGGGCCTCGGAAAGGTTGGCCGCATCCTTCTGGAAGCTGCAGCACACTTTTTCGAGGTCTGCTGCTGCTTCTTGCTGCTGCTGCTGTTGCCGCTGCTGTCGCCGTTTCTGTTTGCTGCTGCTGCTGCTGCTGCTTTTGCGGATGCGTCTGTGGCTGCTGCTGCGGCTCGCGCCACTGCTGTTTGCTTCCACTGCTGCAGTGCAGCAGCAGCAGCAGCAGCAGCAGCAGCAGGACAGAAACACGAGCGACAGCACTTGCAGCAGCAACTGCAGCACCAACAGCAGCAGCAGCAACAAAAACGGAGCCTTTGTGGTCCCGCCATCCGTGCTTATATCCCTGGCACTTCTCATCCAGTAGGAACTGCTGCTGTTGCTGCTGTAGCTGCTGCTGCTGCTGTAGCTACTGCTGCTGTAGCTACTGCTGCTGCTGCTGCTGCTGCTGTGTCTATCCCTCCTGTGCCTGCTGCACACCATGCACACTTGGGCTGCCTTTGCTGCTGCTGTTGCTGCTGCTGCTGCTGCTGCAGGAGGCACCTAGAAGCCCTAAGAGGTGCAGAGGGCCTCGGAAAGGTTGGCCGCATCCTTCTGGAAGCTGCAGCACACTTTTTCGAGGTCTGCTGCTGCTTCTTGCTGCTGCTGCTGTTGCCGCTGCTGTCGCCGTTTCTGTTTGCTGCTGCTGCTGCTGCTTTTGCTGTCACTTTTGCTGCTGCGGATAAGCGCAAGGCTTCTCTCAGCATGCATTTTTGTTGGTGCCTTACTGCAGCAGCTACAGCAGCTGCTGCAGTCTCACATTGTTTGCTGCTGCTGATTCTGCTGCTGCTGCTGCTTCTGCTGCTGCTGCTGCGCCCTCAGGAGGCTATTTGGCGATGCCGTTTGCTGCTGAGCCAGTTCTTTGCTGCAATGCCTCTTGCCTCAATTTGCATAGCTGGAGGATCAGCAACAACAGCAGCAGCAGCAGCAGCAGCTGCTGCTGCTGCTGCTGCTGTTGAAGACTCGGCCACCGCCGCTTGCGTCACGGCGCAGCAGCAGCAAGACAGAGAGTGGCAGCAGCAGCTGCGCTGGATTGGGGTGTTCTCAGTGAGCAGCAGCAACAGCAGCAGCAGCAGCAGCAGCAGCAGAAGCAGCAAAGAAGTCATTGCAGGAATATCCAACATGAGCAGCAGCAGCCCAGACAGCGAAGAAGCCCCTGCTAGCATTTCAAGCAGCAGCAGAAGCAGCAGCGAAGGAGCCCCCGCCGGCATTTCAAACAGCAGCAGCAGCAGCAGCAGCAGCAGCAGCAGCAGCAGCAGCAGCAGCAAGCACCACTTGGCCTCCCACATGACCCCCTTCGCCTCGCTGCTGTCGCTGGAAGCAGATCCTTTCGCCCGCCGTTTGCTGCAGCAGCCTGCTGTTTTCCTGGCCCGGGCGCTGCAGCAAAATGACGTAAAGACCACCGCGTCAGCATTTGCTGCTGCTGCTGCTAATGCTGTTGCTGCTGTTGTTGTTGCTGCTGTTGTTGTTGTTGCTGCTGCTGTTGTTGCTGCTGCTAGCCCTGCTGCTGCTGCTCTTGCCGCCCCTGATGCCGTTGCTGCTGTCGCTGCCCCTTCTGCCGCTGCTGATGCTGCTACTCCCGCCGCTGCTGCTGCATTTGCTGCTGTTGCATTTGCTGCTGCTGCATTTGCTGCTGCTGCTCTTTCCATCTCTGCTTCTGCTGCTGCTCTCTCTGCTCCTGTTTTTGCTGCTGCTGCCATTGCTTCCCCTGCTTTCGCTGCTGCTGCTTGTGCTGCCACTGCGTTTGCTGCTGCTGAGCGCGCTACTGTTGCATTTGCTGCTGCTGCTGCTGTTGCCGCGCTCACCGCAAACTGCATTTCTGCTGCTGCTGCTGCTGCTGCTGCATTTTTCAGGGAGCTGCTGCAGCGTTTTGAGCTGCCGGGACACCTGAAGATCAGCGCTGAGATCTCAGAAGCATTTGCTGCCTTGAGAGATGCTCTGAGCTGCCTCCCTGCTGCTGCTGAGGCCGACGCTGCTGCTGCTGCTGCTGCTGCTGTTTCCTCTCGCCTGGAGATGTGCCTTGAAGCATTCGACAAGTCGTACGGCATGCGGCAGCAGCAGCAGCAGCAGCAGCAGCAGCAGCAACAGCACTCACCCCAGCAACGAAAGGGGCTGCAGCCCCAGGTCTTTCTCAGCTGCAACCTCGCTGCTGCTGCTGCTGCTGCTGCTGCTGCTTCTGCTCAGGTGGGAGTCCGTCGATTCTGTGGTGGTCCCTGCAGCAGCAGCTGCTGCTGCTGGTGCTGCTGCAGAAGCGGCCGCTTCAACAGCTGCATCAGTAGCAGCAACTTTAGTTCCCGCAGCAGATGCAGCAGCACTTAGTGAAGAAGCAGAAGCAGCAACAATAGCAGCAACAGCAGCAACAGCAGCAGCAGCAGTGGAGACAGAACAGGAATGCATCTTCCGCAGCTGCCTTACAACTTACTCCGATGCAGCAACAAAGGCCTCTGTCGCTTTGCTGCGCTGCAGCAAAAGGTTTGCTGCAGTGTTTGCTGCTGTGGATGCTGCTGTTGCTGCTGCGGCCCCTGCAACTGTCTCGCTGCTGCTGCTTCGCCGCGCTGCAGAGGAACTGCGCAAAATCTCACAGCAGCAGCAGCAGCAGCAGCAGCAGCTACATCTAGAAGATACATCGGCAGCAGCTCTAGCAACAACAGCAGCAGCAGCAGCAGCAGCATCAGTAACTGCTGCAGAAACAGCAGCAGCTGCAGCAGCTGTCCAAACTCCAGCGCTGACAACTCTTCTAGCAACGTCTATAGACCGGTACATGCGTGCTGCTGCTGTTGCTGCTGCAGTTCTGCTGTTGCTGCTGCCGTTGCACTTGCTGCTGCTGCTTCTAGAGCTGCTGCTGCTGCTGCTGTTCCTGCTGCTGCAACTTGTTGAGGACTTCCTCTGGCTGCTACTTGGATTGCTGCTCTTCTGCTTGTGGGCATCTTGGTGCTGCTGCTGCTGCTGCTGCTGCTGCTGCGATGAGTTTTGTTGCTGCTGCGCCTGATTCTGCCGCAGCTCCCAAGTTTCCGCTTGCTGCTGGCAGCGCTGCTTCGCTGCACACAGAGGCACTCATACTGTGGCTCCACCTGCCCTTGCTGCTGCTGCTACTGCTGCTGCTGCTACCGCTGCTGCTGCTGCTGCTGCTGCTGCTGCAGGCTGGAGGTGCTGATTGAGGCTCGAGGCATGCGCACAGTCAGCTTGGCCTCGTTGCTGCTGGAGGTGGAGACGCTGCCAATTAAGGCGGACCTCCTCAGGACCCATCTTTCAAGGTAAACAGCAGCAGCAGCAGCAGCAGCAGCAGCAGCAGCGGCAGCAGTGGCAGCAGCAGCAGTGGCAGCAGCAGCAGCAGCGGCAGCAGCCGCGGTGCAATAGTAGCAGTTAGAGGGCCGCTGCTCTGCGCAGATGGCCACCTGCGACGACTTCTGCTGCTGCTCCAGTTGCTGCAGCTACAGCAGCAGCAGCTGCTGCTGCTGCTGAGAGCTCTTCTGCGTCTGCCGCTGCCGCTGCTGCTGGTGCCGTTGCATTTTAGCTCACTGCACAAGAGCAACACACGCATATGCTGAGCTTGCTGCTGCTGCTGCTGCTGCTGCTGCTGCTGCTGCTGCTGCTGCTTTGCTGCAGCTTACACCAGCGCAACACCGCCGTGGCTTCCTTGCTGGAGCAGATGCAGCAGCTTGCTGCTGGCACTCTGCGGCTCTCAACTGCTGCTGATCTCAGCAGCTTTTTGGATAAGGCGGTGCAGGTGCTGCGGGGAGAACCGCAGCAGCAGCAGCAGCAGCAGCAGCAGGAGCACCGACTTCAGCAGCAGCAGCAACTGCAGCCGCAGGGTGAAGCACCGCTTCCTGTATTCACTAGTGGTGAAGAGACTGAGAAGCTTTCAGAGGACCCCCAGCAGCAGCAGCAGCAGCAGCAAGCACTGCAGCAGCAGCAGGAAGGAAGTGAAGGGCAGCAAGGAGAGGGCACAAAGTACTTGCTGGCCCTTGTCTGTTACCTCAAGAGGATTGTAGAGCTGCAGACAGAAGCCAAACAAAGGCTGCATGCCAAGCAGCAGCAGCAGCAGCAGCAGCAGCAGCAGCAGCAGCAGCAGCAGCAGCAGCAGCGCAAGGAGGAGGAGGAGCATCAGCTGTTCAGCTTGCCGTTTGTGTCTCCTGAAGATTTAATTTCTGAAGTTCTCTTCAGATTTGAGGGGCAGCAAGAGGCGCAGCAGCTCGCAGCTTTGCTGCAGGCAGACCTGGTGGAGGTGCTGCTGCAGGCGGCGCTGCCGCTGCACCCGTTGCTTCTCGGTAGGACAAGCAGCAGCAGCAGCAGCAGCAGCAGCAGCAGCAGCAGCAGGTGGCCCCCCCCGTTTCCCTCCTCAGCTCTGGCCCTGCGGAAGGACTTAGTGCTGTTTTTAGGGGCGCTGGAAGAGCAGACCTATTCACTGCGTCGTGATGCTGCTGCTGCTTGCAGCAGCAGCAGCAGCAGCAGCAGTAGCAGCAGCAGCAGCAGCTGCTGCAAAGGCAAGGTATCTCTGCTTGCTGCACTAGCCATAGCTGAGCGCTGCGTGGAGGTGTGGCCGTCGGGCCCGCTGCTGCTGCTGGCGCAGCAGCAGCTCTGCTGCTGCTGCAGCAGCCTGCGGCTGTGGCTGGCTGAGAGGCACCGCTGCTGGCGAATCATACAGGCGACGGGAGCAATACAAGCAGCAGCAGCAGCAGCAGCAGCAGCAGCAGCAGCAGCAGCAGCAGGGCCTGAAGCACGGGCATTAGCAGCAGCAACAGACAGCTGGAAGCTGCGGCCTGAGGGCTGGAGGCCTCATGAACTGTTGGCTTTGCCCTTTGCTGCTAAGGTAGGTCACAGCAGCAGCAGCAGCAGCAGCAGCAGCACCAGCAGCAGCAGCAAAACGCTAGAAAGCAGGGAGAACTTTACGCCAGCTGCATGAATACCACCTAGTGCTGCGGCTGCCATTGCTGCTGCTGTTATTGTTGTTGCTGCTGCTGCTGCGGTTTACTGCTGCTGTGCACTTGCTGAAGCTGCTGCTGTCTTCGCTGCTGTTGCTGTTGCTGCTTGTGCGTTTGAGGCCCCCTTGTTGCCTTTGGTGCTGCGTCCTCTCTTATCCCCCAACCCTTGCTGCTGCTGCTGCTGCTGCTGCTGCTGCTGCTGCTGCTGCTGCTGCTGCTGCTGCTGCTGCAGAGGTATCTAGAGGCCGTGGCGGACGACAGCCAAGCAGCACTGGAGCTCTGTTTTGCTGCAGCAGCAAGAGCTTGGGGTGTACGGGGAGATCTGCAGCGGGCCTTAAGACTGGCAGATGCGCAGCTGTCTCCAGACACGGAGCTGCAGCAGCTGCTGCTCACCTGCGTCATCAGGAAGGCACAGCAGCAGCAGCAGCAGCAGCAGCAGCAGCTGGAGGGGCACCAAGCCGAGGGGTCTGCTGCTGCGGTGCTGCAGCCGGACTCTACAGACATCTCGACAATACCTGCGTGGCCTCTTGACCGGTCTCTGGGCCTGTGTGCTGCTCAACCTGCAGCAGCAGCAGCAGCAGCAGCAGGGGACCCCGCAGACGAAGCAGCAGTGGCAGCAGCAGCAGCAGAGTGCGACGCAGCAGCTGGCAACGAAGAAGAGCTGTCGCTGCCGCAGTGTGTCTTGCGGCTCAGCAGCGCAGCAGCAGCAACACGTGCTGCTTTGCTGCTGTCTGCTGCTTGGGCAGTGGAGACCTGCATAGAAACTCTGGCTGTCTGCCAGGCGCGGCTGCAGGAGCAAGCAGCAGCAGCAGCGCAGCAGCAGCAGCAGCAGCAGCAGCAGCAGCAGCGGCAGCCAGCGGACGCAGCTCAGACTGGCAGCAGCAGCAGCAGCATTGGCTGCCGCTGCCTGCAGCAGCACCCGCTGCTGGCGGCTCTTGAGCATACGGCAAAGACTGGCACAGCAGCAGCAGCACCAGAAGCAGCAGCAGCAGCAACAGCAGCAGCAGCAGCAGCTCCCGCAGCTGCGGCGACAGCAGCAGCAGGGAGCGGGGACCTGAATGACGGCGAAGAGCTTGGCTTTGAGACGAAGGCCGAAGAAGCAGCAGCAGAAGCAGCAGCAGCTGCTGCTGTGGCGCTGCGGTGCGTGGCTCAGGAGCAGCAGCAGCTCCGCTGCTGCAGCAGCGGCCCCTGTTTGCTGCTGCTGCTGCAGACCCGCGGGTGTCTGTACACCTGGCGCAGCTACAAAGCAGCAATGGAAGCAACAAATGGCACTTGGGAAACTTGGCGAGACATCCACGCTGACATGCAGTCGGAGGAAGGCGTACAAAAGGTAAACCCTAAACCCTAAACCCTAAACCCTAAACCCTAAACTTTGCCTTCTCATACACTGCTGGCTGTAGGGTCGATGAGTCGAGCGGAAACTGCAAAGTCCAACGAACTCTAAACCCTAAACCCTCAGCACGAAACCCTTGTTTGGGGTTTAATGCTTAAGGTTTGGGGTTTAGTCCTCAAGGTTTTAAGACCGAGGGTTTAGGGTTTAGGGTTTAGGGTTTAGGGTTTGGGGTTTCCGCGCAGGTTGTTCGCACGCTGGCTGCGTGCAATGGCTATGCTGCTGCAAGAGCTCTTTTAAAAGTAGGTTTTGCTACAGGGAGCTAGCCAGCTAGTTAGTTAGCTAGCTAGCTAGCTAGCTAGCCAGCTAGTTAGTTAGCTAGCTAGCTAGCTAGCTAACTAACTAGGTAGCTAGGTAGCTGGCTAGCTGGCCTTTTACCCCGCTAGCTAGCTGCTAACTAGGCGGACGGACAGCTAGCTGGAGGCATATCGACACCCAACTGCTTGCTACGTGGCTAGCCACAAACCTAGCTCGCCAGAAAGCCGGCTAGCCAGCTAGCTAGTCAGCTAGCTAGTCAGCTAGCTAGTCAGCTAGCTGCCGTGGGGATCTGCTCACAAGCTACCTGTTCAGTCGGGTAGCTCGAGCCTTGCCGCCTGATGCGCTAGCTAGCTAGCCGCCAAGCTGTGTGGCTAGCTAGCTAGCTTGCTGGCTAGCTAGCTGGCTAGCTAGCTAGCTAGCTAGCTTGCTGGCTAGCTAGCTAGCTAGCTAGCTAGCTAGCTAGCTAGCTGGTTGAGTGCCAGCTCTGCGGCTAGCTGTGGGTGTTTGTTTCCGCGCAGCTCGTCAGTGGGTCTGCCGTGTCGCCAGCTAGCGACCTGTCGGCGGGGCAGCTAGCTAGCCAGCTAGCTAGCCAGCCAGCTAGCCAGCCAGGTAGCCAGCCAGCTAGCCAGCCAGCAGGACGGCTAGCTAGCTCTTACCTGCAGGAGTGGCTAGCTGAGGCGGAGCTGAAGCAGCTGCTGTCGCTTCCCGGCTTCCGAGGTGCAGCAACTCGCCGGCTGCTGGCGCTCAGCAGCAGCAGAAGCACGCGAGTGGCCTTGCGGCTGCTCTCCCTCAGCAGCAGCAGCAGCAGCAGCAGCAGCAGCAGCAGCAGCAGCAAGGTGATGCTGCAGCTGCAGGGAGGCTTCCCGAAAGTGGCTGGCCGTTTGTACCTGTGCGAGCTGCTGCACCAGCAGGAGCAGCTGTGGGCGCGTCTGACGCAGCAGCAGCAGCAGCAGCTGCAGCAGCTGCTGCCGTCGCTGCACCTGCTGCAGCTCGTGGAGACTGAGGTGGAGAGACACCGCGAGCCGCTGCTGCAGCACCCGCTGCTGCTGCTCGAAAGCCTCATACTTAATGCCCGCACGGAGTTGCTGCAGCACTTTTTGCTGCGCTGGCCAGCTTTGCGGGACAATGGCCTTTTGCTGCGCTACGCGCGCAAGGCCCTGGGGCTTCCTGCTGCTGCTGCTGCTGCTGCTGCAGGCCCTGCTGCTGCTGCTGCAGCAGGAGCTGCTGCTGGCGGCCCGGGAGCCGCAGCAGCAGCAGAGCAACATCTGTGCGCTAAGACGGACACTGCTGCAGCTGCAGCAGCAGACCCCCCAGCAGCAGCAGCAGCAGCAGCAGCAGCAGCAGCAGCAGCAGCAGCAGCAGCAAAAGGCCTGCCGCCGCCTGGCTGGGGATTCGGGGGGCGGTGGGTCCTTACAACTGACGAAGACACAAATGAGCGGATTCGTGCTGCTCATGCATACACCCCAGCTCCTGCTGTTGCTGTTGCGCTGCAGCTGCTGCAGCTGCTGTCTCCTGGCAGCAAAAAGGAGGCCCTCAGCTGTCTCCAAATCTGCACGGAAGTTGCTTCGCTGCTGCCCCGCGCACTGTACAGACACCCCATGGCGACTTGCGGGCCCGTTGCTGCTGCTGCTGCAGCAGCAGCCCCAGCAGCTGGTGTTCGTGCTGCTGCTGCTGCAGCAGCAGCAGCGCCTGCAGCAGCAGCAACGACGACGAGCTGCTGCAAAGCCAACTGTGTTAGAATGACAGAACGCTCCCTAGTCAGGGATGAAGATGCACCAGCAACGGCAGCAGCAGCAGCAGCAGCAGCAGCAGCAGCAGCAGCCACGGCTGCAGCACCACCCCCAGCTGCAGCAGCTGCTGCGCCTGCTGCCGCAGGCTCCTGCTCTTCAGCAACTGACCCAGAAGCGGCTCGCGGGAGCGCCAGCAGCAGCAGCAACAGCAGCAGCTCCAACAGCAGCAACACCAACAGCAGCAGCAGCAGCAGCAGCAGCAGCAGCAGCAGCAGCAGCAGCAAGGCTGTGTGGCGGAACTTGTGCGGCACTGCCTTCAACAGCTTCGACGCTCTGCACTGCCAGCGCTGCTCCTTCTCTGGGGTGTACGTACACCTCAAGGGCAAGGGCTCAGTGCGGCTGACAAATGTGCTGCCTTGTGGGCTGCGGCAGCAGCTAAGGAGGCTGCATCCTGCTGCTGCTGCTGCTGCTGCTGCTGCTGCACCGGGTGGTGCTGCTGCTGGGAAGCATGTAGCAGCGCCAGAGCCAGAGGCAGCTGCAACCACTGCAGCAGCAGCAAAGGCAGCAGCAAGCTCCGTGGCGTTGCTGCGGCAGCCCCCGGCAAAAGCACAAGCTGGTTCTGCTGCAGCAGCAGATAATGAAGCAGCAGCAGCAGCAGCAGCAGCAAACAGAGCTGCGCCAGCAGCAACCAGTGCTGCGGCATCAGCAACCAGTGCTGCGGGAGCAGCACCGGCAGCAGAAACTGGCGCAGCAGCAGCAGCAGCAGCAGCACCGGGGATGGCTCTGTCGCTGCTGCCCTACGGGGCGCTGCTGGGTTTGCTGCAGCAGCTGCTGCAGCTGTGTCTGGCGAAGTTTGGGGGCTTCCGTTGGGTGCAGGCTCGCGTGCTGCTGCTGCAGCAGCTGCTGCAGTTCATTGCTGCTCTCTGGAGCCGCTGGGGCTGGCTGCCCCCTATAGAGCTGCTGCTGCAGCCCCGCACTGCAGCAAGACTTCGGGACACTTTGCTGCGCTGCAACGAGCTGTCTTTGGCCTGGCGGCTGTGCAGCAGCTATTTCCACGCAGCTCTGCTGCTGGTGCAGCAGCAGCAGCAGCAGCAGCAGCAGCAGCAGCACAGTCAGCAAAAGCAGCAGCGGAAGATGCTCTTCCCCGCCACTGGCACGGCTGCTGCGGCTGCGCCGCCAACGGCTGCTGCTGCTGCCCACAGCCCAGCAGCCCCAGCAGCAGCGGCGGAAGACCCAGCAGCAGCAGCAGCAGCAGCAGCAGCAGCAGCAGCAGCAGCAGCAGCAGCAGCAGCAGACGACAGACTTGCAGAGACAATCGGCACTCTGCGTTTTTATCCTGCTCTTGAAGTCAGAGTTGTTTCTCTTTGTCGTCTTGGAATGTTTGCTGCAGCTCGTGCTGCGCTGCACACGGCGTTATCTCTGAATGTGGAGCAGACTTTGCTGCAGCAGCAGCTCACCGCTGCTGCTGCTGCTGCTGCTGCTGCTGCTGAAGGGCAGCATTCTCAGAAGCAGCAGCAGCTGCAGCAAGTGGCGGAAGCAGCTGCTTCGCATGGCAGTGCTCTGCAGCAAAGGATCTCTCAGCGGCAGCAGCAGCAGCTGCAGCAGCAACAGCAGCACAAGGGATACACTTTTGCTGCTGCTGCTGCCGGGCCGCCGCTAGAAGAGCTGACCGCTTCTCTCCTGAAGGCAGCAAAACACTCTAGAGCTTCTGCCTGCTTGGGTTTCTGCCCAGTGCAGCAGCAGCAGCAGCAGCAGCAGCAGCAGCAGCAGCATGTGGTCTATGCTGCTGTTGCTCTTGACTGGAGCAGTCGAAGTAGCAGCAGCGGCAGCTCGACGCCTAGGGAGCTGCTGCGCTCTCTTTCTCAGCAGCAGCAGCAGCAGCAGCAGCGGCCTTGGGGACTAGCAGAGAAGCAGCTGCTGCGGCAAGTGCTGTCGCCTCTGCCTCCGCTGGATGCTGCTGCTGTTGCTGCTGCTGCTCACCGCGGCAGTGTGCAGGCCGCAGCGAAGGACTCGACTGCAGCAGCAGCAGCAGCAGCAGCAGCAACGGACGCAAGCGGAGTTGCTGCAACACCGCTCTCTGCTGCGGCGCAAACTGGCAGCAGCAGCGGCAGCAGCAGGCGCCGCGGGGCAGGGCCTGGCTCAGCAGCAGCAGGAACAGCAGCAGCAGCAGCAGCAGCAGCAGCAGCCTCCGCGGCGTCGAGCTCTGCTGCATCGGCGTCTCCCAGCTGCACCCCCGGGGCCTCCTCCGGGCCGTCTTCCTCGCAGCAGCAGCAGCAGCAGCAGCAGCAGCAGCAGCAGCAGCAGCAGCTGGGCAGCAGCTGCCTTGCTGCACTTGAAGCTGGCATTCTGCAGCTGCAAGTGGCCTCCTATTCTTGTCTTGTCTCTTTTCAAAAAGGTGTCTCTTTTTTAATTGCTTATCGGCGGCAGTCTGGCTTGCCTTTGCCTTGGCCAGTGGCCCCGCTGCTGCTGCCTCCAGCAGCAGCAGCAGCAGCAGCAGCAGCGGCGGCAGCAGCAGCAGCCGGCAAATTGGGCAGCAGCAGCAGCAGCAGCAGCTTCCGGCTGCGCTTGCCGCCGCTGCCGAGGGGCCCCCTCTCTTCTGTTTCCGCTGCAGCTGCTGCTGAGCGGCGGGTTGCTGCAGCAGCAGCAGCAACGCAGCTGCAGCTGCTGCTGCCCCCCGTGCATGCAGCGCTGCAGCTAGCCAGTGTCCCCGTGACCAGTGGTCAGTCTGTGAGTGCGGATTTGCAGCTGCTGTGGGGGCAGCTGCGGCAGCAGCAGCTGCAGCAGCAGCTGCAGCAGCAGCTGCAAGAGCAGTTGCAGCAGCAGCAGCAGCAGCAGCAACAACAGCAGAAGCAACGCATGCAGGAATCGAAGTCGCCCACAGAAGGGCACAATGACCAGCAGCAGCAGCAGCAGCAGCAGCAGCAGCAGCAGTTGCTGCGGCGCTGCCCCAGCGGAGCGCAGCCAAAGCAGTTGGGGGGCCTCCTGTTGTCTCCAAGCAGCAGCAGCAGCAGCACATCTCCTCTTGCTGCTGCTGCTCTTGCTGCTGCTTCGCCCCACATGCAGCTGGAGGGGGAAGGATTCTCAGCGCAGAAGCTTGCTGCAGCAGCAGATAATTACTTGAAGTGCTATTTACAGGTTCAGTGCAGCAGCAGCAGCAGCAGCAGCAGCAGCAGCAGCAACACTCCAGACATAAGCCGCTGCGTGGCGCCAATCGCACTCCCGCACTGCTTGAGCAGCAAACGCAACTGCAGCGAGCGCTGCAGCAACAGCAGCAGCAGCAGCAGCAGCAGCAGCAGCAGCAGCAGCAAATCTGCAGCAGCAGTGCTTTTCCCCATGCCTTATCTCTGCTGCTCCGTTTGTGGGGGCCGCTGCGGCGATTTGCCGCTGCTGCACCAGGAGCAGCAAGCCATAGGTGTGTTCTTCTCCCTAAACCCTAAACCCTAAACCCTAAACCCTAATCTCTAAACCCTAAACCCTAAACCCTAAACCCTAATTATGAGCCATCCACACAGTCGTCTCCGCATGCAGAACAGCGCAACAGCAGTATCCTTGGTGTGCATTTTCATGAACTGCTCTTTTCTCCGTTGCGGCTGTAACTGCTGCTGCTGCTGTATCTGCTGCTGCTGCTGCTGCTGCTGCTGCTGCTGCAGCTGCTGCGTCTGAGCTGGGCCTAATGTACAAGACTTTTGGGAGTCCTCGGTCTCTCTTTTCTTTTCTTGTTGCTTCCAATCGGCTGCCGGAGGCGGTGGAGTTATTTTTGTCTCCTGGGGGTACAGGAGCAGCAGCAGCAGCAGCTGCTGCTGCTGCTGCTCCTGGGCCCGCTGCTGCTGCTGCCGCTGCTGCTGCTGCTGCTGATGTCGAGCTGCTAGTCACCCATGCACTCAACCGCCAGCAGCTAAACGCACTGCTGCGGCTGCTTCACAGAAGAGCCCACGGGGAGAGCCAAGTCTTCACTGTCAGCTACTGTTGCTGCTGCTGCTGCTGCTGTTGCTGCTGCTGCTGCTGCTGCTGCTGCCACGGCTGCTGCTGCAGTGGCTGCATCTGTGTGTGCTCTTGGAGCTTCTGCCTGCACGTCTGCATCTGCGTCTGCCGTTGCTGCTGTTGCTGCTGCTGCTCTTGCTGATGCTGCTGCTGCTCTGGCTGTTGCTCCCTCTGTTGCTGCTGCTCTGCTGCTCTTGTTGCTGCTGCCCTTCTTGCTGCTGCCCCTCCTGCTGCTGCTCCTGCTTCTTAATTTGATTTAATTTGCTTTTTAGTTTTATATTTTAATTATTTATTTCTTTTCGTTTTTTATTTGCTGCAGATGCTGCGGGCGGCGCTGCGCTCCCACCGCGCGCTGCGGAGTTTGCAGCAGTGCCATGTGGGCAATTTGTTTTAAAAAACGAATAAAAACAAACAAAAGCAATTTAAAAATAATAAAATAATAAAAATAAATTAAAATAGTAATTAATTAATTAATTTAAAACAAACATGGCGCTTGTTTTCCCGTTTTTTCCTCTTCTTGGGCTGTCTAGACACCTGCTGCTCACTTGCTGCTGCAGCAGCAGATTTTTCTTCATTTGTTAATTTCAATTATTTCTTTTTTCAAAGCTTTAAATATTTATATTTTTGTTTATTGGTTATTTGATTTTGCATTTTTTCGTTTTATTTCCGCTTTTATTTGTTTATTTGTCTTATTTTGGAGTTATTTAATTAATCGGTTTATCTAATTGGTTTATTTTAATTCATTTTATCTTTTTTTATTTGCTGCTGGCAGCTCACAACTGGAGACAATTTAAATGCAGGTCTTCTCTCGGTGCTGCTGGCTGTGCACGAGGCACTGGCGCCGCCTCCTTTTGCTGCAGCAGCAGCAGCAGCAGCAGCTGCTGCTGCAGCAGCAGCAGCAGCAGCAAGCAAGTGGGACCGTCTTCACGGGCTGCTGGATGAAGGCATTTCTCTCCTTTCCGCGGCGCTGCAGCAAAAACGGCAAGCCATGTCTTTTCTGGGGATTAGGGCTTAAGGCTTAGGGTTTAGGGTTTAGGGTTTAGGGTTTAGGGTTTAGCGTAGGGGCTTAGGGGCACGGGTTTAGGGTTTAGGGTTTGTAGGCCAGTAACTGGTTTTCGTCTGCAGCGTAGGGCCTCCAGACAGCATGAAGCAGCTGAGGAAGCACCCAGAGGCAGCAGCAGCAGCTGCTGTTGCAGCTGCTGCTGCTGCTGCTGCTGCCGTCGCCGATGCTGCAGTTGAAGCCGCGCGGCCAGTGCAGCAGGAGCAGCAGGAGCAGCAGCAAGCAGCAGCTGCAGCAGCAGCTGCAGCAGCAGCGGCAGGCCCAAACGAGCCCGCGTCAAAGGCAGCCGATGCTGCAGCCGCAGGCCTTTCTGCTGCACCTCACGACAGCAGCAGCAGCAGCAGCAGCAGCAGCAGCAGCAGCAAAGAAACTGCTAGGGACATTAGAAAAGCAAGCGCAGCTGCAGCAGCAGAGACGCGGATGAGCAGCAGCAAGCCAGCAGCGGGAGGGCTGCGGCTGCTGCAGCTAGCAGACGATAGGGACCTGTCTCTTGATGAGGTAAAGTCCTGCTGCTGCTGCAGTTGCTGCTGCTGCTGCTGCTGCTCGATATGCTGCTGGTGATGCTGCCAGCGCTGCTGCAGTTGCTGCAGGTGAAGTTGCTTCTGCTGCAGCTCCAGCGCACAGAAGCAAGGGATCAGGCTGCTGCTGCTGCTGTTGCTGCTGTTGCTGCTGCTGTTGCTGCTGCTGCAGGTTGATGAGCATGATCTACAGGAGCTTCTGGAATTGGTTGACTTGCAGCAGCAGTGCTGCTGCGCCGTGCCGAGTTGCTGCAGCAACTGGTCTTTGCTGCTGCAGCAGCAGGAGCAGAGGGTTCGCCTGTGCGTGCTGCTGCTGCTGCAACAGCAGCAGCAGCTTGCTGCTCGTGTGCTGCAGCTCTGCTGCTTAAACCCTCTTGAAGTGTATGTACAGGCAGCACATGTGCTAGCCAGCAAGGCCGCCACAATTCAGCAGGTAAAATGCAGGGCTGCTGCTGCTGTTGCTGCTGCTGCTGTTGCTGCTGCTGCTGTTGCTGCTGCTGCTGTTGTTGCTGCTACTGGTATTGCTGCCATTGGTGCTGCTGCTGCTAGGACTGTTGAGTCTTCTCCGTTTCCCCCCCGCAGCCTGCTGCTGCTGCTGCTGCTGCAGCTGTCTCTTGTGTTGCAGTTGCTGCTCTTTTGTCGCCATAAACATAACATGCTGCTGCTGCTGCGCTTGCTGTTGCTGTTGCGGTTGCGGTTGCTGTTGCTGCTGCTGCTGCGGTTTCTGTTGCTGCTGCTGCTGCCGCTGCTGCAGATGAAGACTCTGGTGACTGCTGCGGGGAAGCACTTGTCTGCTGATGAACTGGACTCCCTGCTGTGCAGCGCAATAAGGGGTTGGCTTCTGCAGCAGCAGCAGCAGCAGCAGCAGCAGCAGGGGCAGCAGCAGCAGCAGCAGGGCGTGCTGCAACGAGACAGTCTGCAGGAAGCTCTAAGTCTCGTGTCTTTGCTGCGGTCGCCGTTGGCTGCATTTGACACGCGCTTGTTCGTCGCCGGTCTGGCGCTGCAGCAGCAGCAGCAGCAGCAGCAGCAGCAGCAGCAGCTGCTGCTGCAGCACGGGGGAGCTGCTTCTTCCTTCTCAGGAAGCCAAGAACCCTCTCTAGCCCAGGAGCAGCTAAAAGTCTGCGTTGATGTTGCTTGTGAGTTGAGAGACAAGGAGTTGCTGCAGCGGTGCAGAGAAGCAGCAGCAGCAGCAGCAGACTTGCCGCTGCAGGAGCTCATAGCGTCCAAGCTGCTGCTGCTGCAGCCCTCCAGCAGCAGCAGCGGCAGCAGCAGCAGCAGCAGCAACAAACGCAGGCGGTAGAAAAGCGCTCCCTGCTTCGCAGATACGCTTTGACTTCTGTAGGGATTGGGGTTTAGGGTCTAGGCTTTAGGGTTTAGGGTTTAGGGTTTTGCGCTGGGTTTTAGTTACAAGTTCAAGCGGTTCCCGCTTACCGCCATTATTTCTAGGGTTTAAGAATTAGGGTTTATAATTAGGGTTTAGGGTTTAGGGCTTAGAGCTCAGACAGAGCTGATTTCGAGAAGCAAACGTCTACAGTGAACCCTCGGCTTATATCTGTCTAGGGTTTAGGGTTTAGGGTTTAGGGTTTGTGGCAGCCAAGGCCTTTCAATTGCGTTTCGCTTCGCATTCAAGGGTTTGGGATTAGGGTTTAGAGCGTAGGGCTTAGGGTTTAGGGTTTAGGGTTTAGGGTTTAGGGTTCTGCGGAGGTGTGTGCACACACGAGACGCTCCGCTGCTGCAGAGTCACTTCGTTGTTGCTGCTGCTCCGCAGCTGCAGCAGCAGCAAATTTATGCATTATGGAAATAAAATTAATTAAAATAAAATTTAAAATATAAATTAAATTTATTTTCCGGAATTTACTGCTCGAGACATCCACGAGCGCGAGCACAGGAGCTGCAGGCGGAGTCTGCGGCGGCACACACACTGGCTAGGGTTTAGGGTTTAGGGTTTAGGGTTTGGGGTTTAGGGTTTAGGGTTTGGGATTTAGAACTTTTGTGTTTATTTTCCTTTCAAATACTACTTTGAGACGCAACACTTTGCCCGAGGCAAAGGGGCCTCCAGTCTGCTGCTCGAGCTGCAGCAGAGAGACACCGCCGACGCCCTAAACCCTAAACCCTAAACCCTAAACCCTAGTTCTGAAGCCTTCTTCCTTCTGTTAAGAAAAGGGACTCTTTTATTTTTTGAAGCCTTAATAGCCACTAATGTTAGGGGTTTAGTGCGGTTTCTGGTCATTCTGCAGCAGCAGCAGCAGCAGCAGCAGCAGCAGCAGCAGCAGCAGAAGCAAACTGGGTTTTGAGTGTCAGTTGGGGCTGAGTGCGTCGAAGGGAAACCAAAAGCCCCAATCCACAAGGGCATTTCTAAACCCTAATTGATGGTTTTAGTTGTAAACCCTCGAGCGTTTCAGCGCCGCCCGCGCGGAGGCGGTCAAACCCCAAACCCTAAACCCTAAACCCTAAACCCTAAACCCCAACCCAATGCCTTGGCAGAGGACACACACTTCTCCTTCTGGCTTCCCAGTGTTTCCTCTTATTTACTTTCGTTAAACACCGCGAGACGCTGTGCTGGCGGTCGCTGCTGCAGCAGCAGCAGCATTTCCAGCAGCAACTGCAGCAGCAGCAGCAGCAGCAGCAGCAGCAGCAGTGACCCTACTTAGCTGCGAGAGCTCCTCCGAGAGTCAATTGTTTTAAGCAGCAGCAGCAGCAGCAGCCTTAACAGCTTCAGCAGCAGCCGCTCCAGCGGCAGCAACAGCAACTGCAGCAGCAACAGCAGCAGAAACGGCGGCGGGAATCGCAGCAGCAGCAGCAGCAGCAGCAGCAGCAGCAGCAGCAGCAGCAGCAAAGGCAGCTCATGGAAACAGCAGAGCAGCAAAACATCTTGGGGACGCAGCCTCCTCTTTGTCGTCTCCTTCTGGCGAATGACCCGCTGCAGTGCATCAGGACCGAACTCAGCCTGTAAACCCTAAACCCTAAACCCTAAACCCTAAACCCTAAACCCTAAACCCTAAACCCTAGGTCGTAGACCGCAGGCCTTAAGCCACCACCAAACAGCTACTTTTATGAGTTTCTGTGTCTGCGAAACGCGAAGCCCTAAACCCTAAACCCCAGAAAACAGCAAGCACCCAACGCAAAACCCTAAACCCTAAACCCTAAACCCTAAACCCTAAACCCTAAACCCTAAACCCTAGGCCCAGCGTGTCTGTGTGGGCGCGCAGCATGCAGGGCAGCCTGCAGCGAGCTGAAGGGGGCGTGTGTCACCTGCAGCAGCTGCTGCAGCTGCTGCTGCAGCAGCTAACAGAAAAAGCAGCACAAGTGGAAGCTTGTTTGGGAGTGCTGCAGCCATTAGGGTTTTACTTGAAAGGAACTCAGTTAATAAATTGTCCCGGAGAAGCAGCAAACAGCCACGGGAAGAAGAGTTCGGGGCGGCGGCCCTCTGCTGCTGCTGCTGCTGCTGCTGCTGCTGCTGCTGCTGCGGCGCAGGACGCCGCAGCGGCAGACACGGCTGCTGCTGCTGCTGCGGGCGCAGCAGCCGCTGCCGCAGCAGCAGCAGCGGCTCCGCCCAGGGAAAGCGATGGCGCCGGAGCGCCAGCTGCTCAGCAGCAGCAGCAGCAGCACAAGCAGCAGCAGCAGCAGAAGCAGCAGCACAAGCAGCAGCAGCAGCCGAGGGAGAAGCTGGGGCAAAGGACCCATGTGAGAGCGCCAAGCGAAGAGAAGCAGCAGCAGCAGCAAATCCTTGCTGCTCCTGCTGCAGCCTCTGCCCCAGCAGCAGTTGGCGCCGAAGCAGCAAGGACTTCTGCTGCTGCTGCTGCTGCTGCTGCTGCTGCTGCTGCTGCTGCTTCCTTGTCCGATGCAGCAGCTGATGCTGCACCGGACGGGCCAGTGGCAGCAGCAGCAGCAAAACCAGCAGCAAAAGCAGCAACTGCTGCTGCTGCAGGGCCAGCTACTGCTTCGTTTGCGGTGGCGGCGGAACCTTTACCAGCAGCAGCTGCCGCAGCAGCAGCAGCAGCAGCAGCAGCAGCGGAGCCTTGCGGTCTCCCTGTTGTAAAGAAAAGGCAAAAGAGAAAAACGGGACAGGAAGCAGGAGCTGCTGCTGCTGCTGCTGCTGGTTCTGCTGCTCCAACCCGAAAGAGAAGGAAGCCACTGTCTTCAATGGCCCAGCAGCAGCAGGAACAGCAGCAAGAGCAGCGGCAGCAGCAGCAGCAGCAGCAGGAGCAGCAGCAAAAGCAGCAGCAGACACAGCCAGATACGCAGGAGCCGCTCGAAAGTTCTTATAAGTCCCAGGAAGTACTTTACAAGACTCCTAAGCAGCAGAAGCCAGAATCAGCAGCAGCTGCTGCTGCAGCAGCAGCTGCAGCAGCAGCTGCAGCAGCAGACGCTGCAGCAGTAAAGGGACAGCAAGCTGCAGCAGCACCGGAAGGAGCAGCAGCAACGCCAGCTGTTAAGCCGTCGCCTCCAAGATTGGTTACACCTAGACCCGCAGCAGCAGCAGCAGCAACAGCAGCAGCAGCAGCAGCAGAACTTCGTGCAGCACCAGGCACTTCTCTAGCAGCGTCAGCAGCAGCAGCAGCATCTCCACGAAGTGCTGCTGCTGCTGCAGCAGGCAGCCAGAAG